CAGATTTACCTGTCTGTCCTAATTCTAAAAGACTGAACTAATGTCATTTGTGTTAGAAGCCCAGTACCTGCAGTAATGTCGTCACCAGCGCTATAGGACAGTCTCCATATTCGACCTGTTTCTATTTAAGGGTGGTCTGCTCAGGCCCTGACCCTCTTTTTAATAAGATTAGCAGCACTAAGAGCTGCAGCTTGGCACGGATCCGCAGTTACTTGATGTCTCGACCAGGGCAGCACTCTTTCACCTTATTTCTTTACACTGCTGTGTCATCTGTACCCACAGACCCTCACATCATTTACTGAGATACCAGTTTGTGCTTCCTGCTCAGTGGATCTTCTGTAGTCCGAACAATTTCATAATTTTCTGCACAGTGTGGATGTACTGAAACTGTGACAGCCAAGACCTAGATACTGTCTCTTACGTTCATTAAGCAAAATGACGACGTGTAGCTTATCCTTAATAGCTTAATGAAGTAATCTCTTGTTTTAACAGCCAGGCCCTAGTTTTGACATGTCTTGTTGAATTAGTTACAGAATAAAATTCAAACAAGTGTTAAACTTGTGAAATATTATTTATTATTATTATTATTTTTATTATTATTATTAGTAGTAGTAGTAGTAGTAGTATTTTTACGTTTACTATACACTCTAGTCTGAAACTTTTTAAATGGAAAACTTTAAACCGTCTTGTTGAACACCCTATTCCACTTAAATAACAAGTCTTATACAGGCTGCCACACTTTCAATTGGACAATGAGACTTTAACTCCATTACCATCAGCATTACCTGACATTGTAAGGTGATTAAATAATTATTATTTTAAAGCATACTGTCTACGAGATGTGTTTAATGGTGGCTTCTTGAAATCGAGCCCTGACAAGTTATTACACACAGAGCCTAATCCGCTTCTCTGGCTAATTTGAGCCCCAAGGAAATAAACCCCCACCTAAAGCTACCTTATAAGCCTCACTCACGTCCGTTGATGTCACACAAGTATCACACGTAGTCACACAAACAAGTTCAAACTGCTTAATACTCACCCACACACTTATATAAAAAACCTGAAATGAGCTTCATGTTATCTGATAAGCTATTATAGCAATAATATACTGTGATAGATTAAGAAAGACTTTGGTTTAATAGAGTTTACATTTGTGTATGTGGGAAGTTATTTTGTTATTCAAGGAATTGTTATATTGACAATTAAATATTACAGACACTGAAACATATTCCATCTGTAAAGATTTGCTTGTATGGATTGAAATCCTTCTCTATGTAAACTTCCATCCATTGTAACAAATGAATAGGAAAATAATACACTATAGTCATGGCCTAAAACAAATGAAAGCCTGTGCACAGTCAAGACAGAGTTCAAATCAGCTTGAGACCGAGTGAAGACCAAACCAAATCATTTTGTCATTTGAGAGTTAACTATAACGTCAGGTGTCACTCAGATTTGCAGAGTCAGGAAACCACCAGTATAATACACTGTAGTTTATTAGGTACCTGTGCAATCTAACACAATCCAATAAACATGGTGATGTTGTACTGGACTGCATTATATAAGTGTCTAATCTAACAGGCCTAAACTAATCTTTCTTCCATTTTCAGTTACAGCATCTTAATTTAAAAAGACCAGTGTTTTCTCGTATGTCATATTGGCAGTTTTCTCAAAATGTTGTAATTATAATACTGAAAACTCAACATCATTGACCAGTGTCAATACATAAAGACACAGATGAATAATAACCATGAATCATACCTGGGAAATGCAAACCCACCAGTTTATATCTAGTACCACCAATATGATCCACATTGCAGAGGCACCCCGTGTCACTGGGTGTACTTGTGTGCTGTATACCAATACTGTAGCATTCCTTCACTGTCATGTGAAGGTGTAAGACTTTTTTTTTCTAGTTTATGTCTGTGTTTACATCTGAGTCTCTCAGACAAACATGAAGTGGGAGCCTACTTTAAGTAATACTAATCACACCTGCTAATCCCTGCTTAATGGATATGTAGGTCATATTTTCTCTTTATAGCCACTTTAAACTCTGTTCAACAATTTTGTATAAACTATCTAACATTAATTACGCTCACTTTTGTGTATAAAATAATACAACTCAGTGTTATCTATTGTGTAAAATGTTTCCAGGGACACACACTTGAACATTTAGGCATTTTAATATGTAATTCAAGGTCCTTGTTATGTGTACATAGATCCTCACAAAGCACACACGGATTAACCATTTTAAAGCAGGACATCCTGTTCAGTACTACACCAGCCATACATTATTTTAAGCACTGTAGTCGGTATTACTATAAAGATATAATCTAAGCATCTCTGCTTACTCACTTTTCTTCCTCAAGCTGCTTCTGGTACTCCTCATACTTCTTTGGACTCTGATGTTTCCTTTCCATCTGCTCCTTTTTTACCTTTGTCTTCATCTTCCAGTGAAACTCTTCAGTTTAATACCCAGCATTTGATTCATGAGGAACTCAGTAGTACTCCATAGCTCAGTTCAAATATATATTATTTAGTCCTACAAGGAAAGGGGAAAAGAAAGCCAAGGGCTAGTGGATGGGTGATGGGTAACGCTAAAAAAATCTGATTATTAACAGGAGCTGGTTGCTATTCAAACTTCCCAAATTGAAACCTTGGCTACTGTGTGTCAAGATGATTAGACTGTATCAATATGAGCTAAAGAGCTTAGCTCATAATTGGAAGACAATGGAAAGTCTTTACCTTGTCAACAAGATGTAGCAGGATAGACCCTCAAGATGTAGGCCACTGCTGTCTACCTCACAAAACAGCACTAATAACTAAAGTAGATATGGGATAATGTGGTAATAAACACAGATTAAAATTTCATAGTCACAACAGAATTGTTATAAGAAGTTTGTAATTATGAAATACTGTTAGATGGACACCGGTCCCACTTTTTAGTTTTTTGTTTTTAGTTCATGCATTCATTATTTAGAATAGATGTACTCAAACCTTACTGTTAGTATGTCAGACCCTGCAATCATAGGACTTTTTTTTTTTGGTCATATCCTGATCTGACTCATTTAGTTAGTTATATTTACCAAAATGTTGATTAAATATCTATTTGACACAGTTAAATCATCGCTGTTGACGACTAAATTTGGCACACTTTATTTTTCATGAGCTACTTATACTGAAGGCCCCACAGTTACATTTAAAAGCTTATTATTGATATGATATGTTAAACATATATTTAATGATGTGTCATCACTCTGTTGAAGTTGTGGGAACTACTAAAACACTCAACAATAGATAGTAGTAGTGTATAGTAGTGTAGTATAGACACCAGCTGAGAGCACTTTAAAAAACTGTTGATCTCAGATTTAACATTAATTAGTGACAGCTGATGTAACATCCTGCTGCAGATTTTTAAATCACGGATAAAAAGTGAGAAGCTGCTAGTATGTTTTGTACCTTTGCTAATTATAAAGAGAAAGGATATTGATTAGCACCTGAGTTATCCTGATGTGCTAATGTGTATTTTACCATGCTCAGTATCTGAACTCAGTCAGTTACTTCCATCTGCCCAAGTAATTCACATTCTTCTTTTAGATCTGTTTTGCACTCTTAAAAAATATATATATTCAGCTTATCTAGGAAGTATCACATAAACCATATATGGAAAATAAACTCTCATTATTGTGCAAACTTTTATTTTTATATTGAACACACCCCAGACTGCCTCCATTATTTTACTGAACCAATGAGCACCAATGCTTACGTTTAAAAAAATATTTTTGTTCTTTCACTATATATTCATTAGGTACTACCAAACTTTTGGGAAGTCATAAACATTTGTCTGTATCAGTATAATCCTTTCATAGTCATTCATAAAGTCTTAACCTGGTAATGGATATTTTGTGGATCATTGGTATGTCCTGATGGGACCTTTGTTTCTAGTGGATTTGTGATTTAAGAGGACTCAAGAAGCTGTGAGATACTTAAAATCTCGCTGATCAGCTCTTGTGTCCACTATTACTACCATATATCGTCCTCCTAAGACTATGTATTTTAGGGCCGCTGTGGACTTAACACCTTTGTGACCTAAAATCTCTGTCCCTAACACAGAACTAATAAGGCTCTAGACATTAATCCTGTAGGATTTAGGATCACCTAATTACAGAAGATCTGTTTAGATTATTTTCTTGTTCTGTGGACTGAAGCCAAGTTGTCTAACTTAAGGAGGCTGTTGTAAAATGGGCAGTTCCACATCTGATATCTGATTGGTTGAGTAACTTCAGATTCATTAAACACACAGTACACTCCTGAAACATTTTTTGCCAAATTATGCCTAAAAAAACTACTTCTGTGTCACACTATCCTCCCTCCTCAAAGAACTGGAGGTTCGTCAGAAGTAGCACATTTAACCAATTATGAGCCAGTTACCCTTCAGAAAAGTATGCAAAAATATAACTATTTTTGAAAACCTACACCACTTTACAGAACTTGTCCTGATAGTACATTATTTCATTCATATTATTGTTGTTTATTTGCAGTCTATTCCAATATAAACACTAACCTTTTCTATATGACTTTAAGGAAAGGCACAGACTAAGGTGATGATTAATGTGGTGAAGCCATAGTGTTGTCAATCCGCCAAGAGAAAAATAACTGGACTTTCCCACCTGTTGACCGTGCTGTCTTTACTGTGGTGACTGGAGTTGCGTTAAGTCTTTTTTTCTATCACTACCACTAGACTGACGAGAATGTAAGAATTTTTAATACTTGCTTGTTACTTCCATGGGATTATTTAATGTAATGTAATGATTTGGCACCTTTAAGGTCTCTTTATTTTAACTATTGGTGCAATATCACAATTTTATCCTGCTTTCATATTGTATATTCTAGCTTTGATGTGTTATGAAACAGGAAACATGATTAATGTCTTAATGTTCCTTATTCTAATGTTAGTAAAAGACCAAACACTTCTTTCCTGACTTTTTCTGCAGTCTATACTGGTTGTAGGGACTAATTGTGAAAGAGATGCTGCTAAGTCCTAATGACCTGTCTGAGTTGGAGTCAGTAGAGGTTACAGAACCACAGGAAATCAAGACATACCACAAATGTAATAAGTCCTTGGATCATGTATCTTGCACTCAAAATGGATCTAGTGTGATGACTTTCCTCAAGAGAAATGCTTTTGTTGTTCTTACAATGGTCGGTGTTGCAATAGGTAAGTGGTTTTTAAAGATGCTGTACTTTATTCTGCCATAAAGCCTCAAAACTGCCTTTTAATCTACTATATCATTCTGAAGACAAATTACTACCTGCTGCTTGCTTTGTATTAATATGTTACTTCTTCAGCACTGCCTTGTGTATTCACTCTTCTTCATTTGGTATTCTGAACTCAACCTTTGATAGCACTGACTTACTGACTCATGTTTATGTTTCTCTGAGGGATCGGCCTGGGCTTTGCTCTGCGATCCATTAATATGTCAACCAGGGATATAAAATATTTAACCTTTCCTGGAGAACTTCTAATGAGAATCCTGCAGATGTTGGTGCTTCCTCTCCTCATATCCAGTCTGATTACAGGTTAGATCCGCACATAAAAATGGTAATAGCTTCCTGATAATGATCACCACAGCACATAAACACAGCCAATAGCCACACTACTGACTGGGGCAAACATTACTAAGCTTTAAGACTAATAACAGTGGCGCACAGTGTGTGTGTACAGTAGAGCTGAGTCTAGATCTACAGTAAGGTTTCCCCATTATTTATTATTTATCGGCCATTGTTTTCTGGTATGTAATAATCATTACAGCATCATGAAACTATATCTAGTGACTAAAATGCAACACTTTTACATGAAGTTTTCAGTCAGTGTGCAATAACTGATTCTTTTTACATAACAAACCTGATGAGCTTGTATTTACATAGACTTCAGTAAGAGTTCAGTAAGGTTTATTATGATATTAAAGATTATTACAGCCGCCTCTTTTTATTTCAGGAATGTCATCTGTGGACAGGAAGGCTTATGGTAAACTTGGGCTAAGGGCTCTCAGCTTTTACATGGTCACCACACTTATTGCTGCATTCACTGGTATTGCCCTAGCAATTCTTATCCAACCAGGGAAATCATCCAGGACTGCTTCGGTGTCCTCTAGTGGTGAAGCAGAAGCTGTGCAGACTGTAGATTCATTTCTAGATCTTATCAGGTATGTATTAAAGTCTTCCAAGGAAACAGAATTTTTTGTTCCTGTAAAAAATACAGGTAACATTATACAGATTATAGTTAAAACACCTAATCTGTGTTTTTAATTTATAGAAACATGATTCCCTCAAATCTGATTGAAGCTTGTTTCAGAAAGGTAAGATTTGGCTATGGCTATGATTTGGTTATATATTCATATCGTCACTGTTTCATACTTACCAACAAGTATCATTCACTTATTATTTTCATGCAGTATAAAACAGTTTATTCCAGGAGTGTTTCAACAGGAACAAGTCTTGGTGTCATCAATGAGACTGAAACCAGTGAAAACAGTGAGATTATTTTTTTCTTTCTATTCCGAGATTCTCTTATGTTGTCTGCCTGATTGTTGTTGTCACTACACCACCTACTCTTAACAACATTCCTGCATGGGACCCCTACAGATGACAGAGTACCAGTGCCAGGCACCTCAGATGGCATTAATATATTGGGTCTATTGGTCTTCTCTGTTGCCTTCGGTCTCACCCTGGGCAGTATGGGGACTGAGGGAAAACCTCTGAGGGATTTCTTCGACTGCCTGAATAAAGCCATTATGCGTTTAGTCAGCATAGTCATCTGGTAAGCACAGGAGGCAATCACAAAGATAGATTTTTAAATGTTATGCTGATATCTATCCAAATACAAGAGCCTAGCAACAGTCATCTCTTAGTGCTTACTGTTATTACTGTAATTGTATTTCTGATTAAATGCTGTCTTTATGATAAGATTTTAGCACGTTATGATAAATAATTAACTGTCCAGGTGTTTGTTTCATGCCCAAGGTTGATTTTTTTGTGATTTACTGCGTAGGTGCTGTATCACACTAGCTCTGAAATCTCATGAGAACATACTAAAATATGGATATGCTTACTCAGCCTCCGCATTGAGCCTGTTTCCTTGCCTATCCTCTGCTGTGTCTCACCTCTATATCACAGGTATTCTCCCGTGGGAACCCTCTTCCTGCTGGCAGGACAGATTGTGAAGATGGCAGACCCTGGAGAGATAGGTCGGGAAGTTGCCATGTATGCTCTCACTGTGATTATTGGCCTGATAATCCACAGTTTGTTCACTCTGCCCCTCATCTATTTCATGGTCACACGTAGGAATCCCTTCAGGCTTATAGGTGGTCTACTCCAGGCTCTCACCACTGCTTTTGGGACTTCATCAAGGTGAGCCAGAGTCTTGATAGTAAACAGAACACATTGCAGACACATGAACAATAATTTTTCTTTCTGTTCCTTCACAGTTCTGCAACCCTACCTGTCACTCTCCACTGTGTGGAGGAAAACCACAACATGGACAGACAAGTGGCACGCTTTATGCTTCCTATTGGGGCCACAATGAACATGGATGGTGCAGCGCTCTATGAAGCTGTAGCTGCTTTATTCATTGCCCAGGTTAATAAAATGGAGTTTAACCTTGGTCAAATCATTATCCTTAGGTATGTTCAAAAGAGAGGGACATTTTAGAAGTTCCTGTCTTAAGACACTTAGATTGGTCAACTAACCATTAACTAGTTCCCATGAGTTACTGAAGACTCAACAGATGAAGGGATGGACAAAAATAGGCCTTACAGAAGACTAGTTCCCATAGAGTTGAGTAGGTTTCTCATTACTTTACTTATTACTCCCTGCCAAGTTATATTACTGTCCCACAAAATTGGCAACTCTGTCCGTCCTCCCCAAAATTCAGACTTGATGATGCTTAAAAAATTTGTTAGTTAAAATCAAAGTAATGTGAATAATGCCAACCACTGAATAAAAGCGTTTCCATCTTCCAAACTAGTTTCCTCCATGATTACAAACATAAGTCTAGGGATGTGATTGGATTGATTTCAAATTAGTAGTTAAAAAAGTAATATTAAAACAAATATTTTTACACTACTAGTTACTGGGGAAAGTAATATTATTACTGTACTATTGTAATACTATAATAATGAGTTTACTGCCCAACACTGGTGGTCAAGCCTAAGAGCACTGTTAATGGGTTGCATGTTTCTCTTGCTCAGTTTGATCGTCACAGCTGCAAGTACTGGTGCAGCAGGCATCCCACAGGCTGGCATGGTATCCATGGTGATTGTGTTGGCGTCAGTTGGACTACCCACTGAAGACATATCGCTGCTCTTGATTTTTGATTGGATACTGTAAGTGCACATGTACACAATGTCAGATTTTGAGAGTGAGAACAAGAACATTTTTGGAAAGTGTGGCCATCATTTGATCTTCACGTCTTCTACGGGCTGTTTAAGGTTTCACAGTTTAAGGTCAGGGTAAAGTTTGGGGATAGGCATGTAGTTATAGCTGGAGGTTAGTGAGTAAATTACATCAGTGAGGGTCTTTACAAGTAGAGAAATACAAAGGTATTTATGCTTTCTGTTTTAAATGGAAAGAATTCCAAATGTATGAAAACATTCTCAACTATACCAGCAAATGTTATTGATTTCACCTGTTACATGGTTAACAGTATTTTAACAGTATCCTATAACTTAACAATTTGAAATCACCCTAAACTTGTGTGTAATTGTGGTCAAGTAAAAATCACAGGTTTCTGCTATAACCACTTTGTTGTATGTTTGTTGATAGGGATCGTCTAAGGACTACCACCAATGTGCTGGGTGACTGTATCGGTGTGGGTGTCGTGCAGCATCTGTCCAGACATGAGCTCCAGAGCTTTCAGCTCTGAGCTTCTTGACAGCATCTATTTCCAAAGGCTAAGATTCGTGTGATATGTTAATGCTGAATGATAACAAACTGTTTTTTTGTCTTTGTGAATTTTACTACCCAGTATACAATAGTAGTTGATATTAATTTAGCACACACAGGAACATGTTTTAGATCTTCAGGAAAAGCAGATGTAGATGAATCAGATGTTAGAGGAACAGAGTTTAGGAGTGAATTAGCTGTCCCTGCTCCTGCTGGTATCAATAAACCCACCGTACTTGAAGAGCAGGAGTAATTAACACACTTCCAGCAGCGTTGCAGGGGAAGCTTGGTGAATATTTCTATGTACAGTATGTTAGATATGAAATGTTAAACTTTAGTGGACAACATTAATAAAATTAGGATGACAGTATTGGGAAATAGAGTGTGCATTTTATTAATTAAAATATTCAGTTTGTGCCTTTATACCATAACTGGTGTTTTCTTTTGCCCCCATAATGCTTATATGTCATGATAAGACCTTTGGCTGCCATTTTGCCCAAATTTCTATGAAATCAGTTTCTTCTTTAGAGGTACACCACCGATAACATCAACTACTGTCCTATACTCCCTATACTAGATTACTTTATGGAATCAGTGCATAAATTGGGGTGGTAAATATACTAACCATGTAAAATATAACATAGGCTTCACAGGAGGTTATCAAGAGGTCATTCCAACCCATGTATCTTAAACATGATGAGTAGACCGGCTCACAGTTTACTTCCATGTAGTGTTGCAGATGTGTGTTTTTATAGGGAACACTCTACCACCATCTGGTGGCAGGAAAGTCAACATGCAAGACAAAAGAAATATCTCAGTGACCCAGTTGCACACATGGGCAATGCAAATATATAACTGTACTTTATGGTACTGCAGTTTATGAAAGTAAACACAATACAAGGTGGGCCTGGAACTTAAACATGATTGTTTGATTGTTTGTACAGTTTATTATAGAAAATGAAGGACAATAAAACAACATTAAAAGATTTATTTCAGTTTTCATACAATGAAAGGACTCAAAGATCTATAGTACTCAAAATAGATAATAGATAAATCACAATTTAAATCCTTTTTTGCACATAAGATAAGATAATTTATTAACTTATTTATCACAGTTAATTAAAACAATCATGGTATTGTCTTTTAACACCTAAAACTATCTACTCTAATTTCAGCATGTCTCAACTGCACCAAAACTGTGGGGAAACAAATGGTTTTAGTCACAAGTCTGGGCATGTTGCAGCATTTTAGAGCTGTGCAAAGTAGCGTTATTAATAGAAAACTGTAAACACACCCGAAATGCATTATTCTGCAGCCAATGGCAGGAGAAGAATAGAAAATTGCTCCCGCTGGGCGATGAGTGCAATGTCAGAGAGATGCCACTGACATTGCCCAGAGCTCAGTGCAGCTGTGAGGAGAGCAGGAAAGAAAGACAGGGAGGGAGGGAGGGAGGTGAAGGAGGGTGTGTGAGCATCACAGCCAGCGAGCCAGAGAAAAGGAGGGGAATTCATATGGAGGAGGGGTTTCACCAGGAGTGAGAGAGCTTAAAAGACATCGTGAGAAAAAGCCAGTGAGAGAGAGAGAGAGAGAGATAGAGAGAAAGAGAGAGAGAGAGAGTGAGACTGTGTGTAAGAGGACGAAGATGCTGTTGCCAGGGAACAGCGGTGAAGTAGAACTGTCCATCTTTTCCATCTCGCAGCAGGATAAAAACACATTAAATCATGGATGCAAAATGGACTGAACGTGAGGAGAAGAAGAACAGCTGATCCTGACTCCGAGCAGCCAAAGAGAATCAAAGAGAAGGTAGGAAGGTGTGATTACATAACCACCATAACACAGCTATCATACTGGTGACATCATCACAGCAGGATTAGAGCCTAGGGGTGGGGGCATTAGTGTTGGTGGAGAGAGGAGGTGGCAGAGGGGGATTCAGCAGAGATGAGCAGAAGTAAATGGGAGGAAGAGAGATGGAGAGTGATCATGATGAGGCGAGCTAAAAGCGCAGGGTGAGGATTATCTTTTGTCCAAAAAGTAGCACAGGCTGCGACTGACAGAAGGAGATTGAAAAGATGGGAGCAGGATGGCGTTGTGCTCTGTGATGACCCTCACTCACCTAACAATTCTCCTGTCTACAGGAGGATACGATTTCTCTCTCAGCCTCCATTCGCAGCATCAGTAAACAGCAAGAATCATCCGGCTGCCCAGGTCCTGAGCACACCTCCTGAGTCCCAGCTGCAGATGTAAACAGTGATCACCCTCACTCACTGCTCAGGCAGATCTACGGAGGAGGAGGAAGAAGAGAAAGAGGAGCATCTGAAAGCAAAACAGGGAAGCTTTCAAAACGGCGAAGAGGAAGTCTTCCTAATATGTGAGTTCCCTGCCTTTACATGAGACATGATTTTTCTGGGTCTGGCTGGATGTAGTGCTTTTCTTCAGGGCAGATTCTCTATTAGTGACGTGATATTTGATGATTCGTTTCATTCTGCTGCAATGAGTCAAATCACTGAGAGAGTGTCTGTTTCCCTTTGTCAAATAAGGAAAAAGATGTCGTGACAGAATAGCTTCTCTCCTCTCACACGCGCCCTGAAAATATAATTTCTCAGTCAAGTAACCTACATGAACACACTTTTTATTGTCTGCCAACAGTTTTTTATATTCCCCTTTGCACTTCTCAGCGGACAGGGCTCATTTGGTCACTTACTTTCATGTACAAATCAGGAATTAGCAACATTTAAAGGAGAGTCTGATGACAGTTGGTAAGTTGTTTGATGAACAACAAATCACAGCCATTCAGTCCTTATGAAGGAAAGTTTTCAAGTGTTACACTGACACTTGATCTGGGGCTTTTTTTTTTGTTTTTCACTGCCCTCTTGACTGTATATTGCAAGAAGACAAGTTGACAGAGGCTGTACTTGATCGTGACGTCTCACCCTACATTGTATTTTATAATCAGTGGCTCTATTGAGGCTTATCTCCAATCTGAAAGCCATGCAAATGATTTCATAACGCAGAAGAGGAAAGAACATTGTGATAGTTTATTCAAGTGGAAGCTCTACTGCTTCACTGCTCAAAGAAAGAGACTTGTCAAGAAACATATTTAGTAAATAATGCACAAGTACAGCTTCTCTATCTTGAGTATTCTCAGCTATTTGTTTTCCATTTCTGTGACAGATTATTAGGTGTTTGGTTCAGTGAATGGCTCACGAGTTCGTGTTTGGGAAATGAAGGCTGCTCTGCCATCTGGACTCAAATCCCTACCAAACACGTGCTACTGCAACATTACTTCGTGTCCATCAATCAGCAGTTCAATGTATGAGCAGCTGAGCCTTCGCAGGAGACAACAAACCACACGCACTGATCTGCTGTGTGAAATTCCCATTTTATTCTCAGGAAGTCACACCCCTTTCATTCTTATTTCATTCTTAATCTAGCGTGAAAAAAGATCAATCTGTTTCAGAAAGCTTTTTTTAAAGGATTGTGAGAACAGAGGAATGTGACTAAAAGTGTAATTTCCCCATCAAGCTCACATCAAACACTGCTACTTTCCCATGGGATGATACAGTGTAAACACCATTCTTCTGCCATAATTTACAATCCATTTATAACACAGCAGCACCAGTAGTATATCTGCCTTTGCCTTTTAGCTCACATTTGCTGTTTTTTTTTCCCCAGTATAGATTCTGATGTGTCTCACTAGAGCACATCAGTGCCATCCCAGTGGACAAATGGACGGTGGTAACGTCTGCTATAGCATGAACTCTGGCTGGGACAGTGATGTAGGAAGGACTCTCCTCCTCCCCCCATACGCACACTTGCACATGATATTCACGCCGTGCTTGACTTACCCTCGTATTACAGCCTGCAAAAACACACCCAATCACAAGACACTGTAGAGCTTTACGTCATATGCCAAGAAAAGGACATGTATTGTTGGATGGAGGCTTCTGTCATTTGATTATGTAAAATGTGTCAGATCACCATCTGCTTTATGGCGGCACGAATGATTTGTTTGTATCGCCCTGAGGGGCCGTGTGAGCAATGTGGTGTTTTATTTTTGTCTCTTTCCCTAGCGATGCAGGGAAAGGAAACTCACTGGCACTTTTTTAAAATTATTATGACATCATTATACATGAATTACCAATAGAAAAGTAGCACTAGTGTTTTTAGGGGTTGTAGTCTTTTTGACAAGGTTTTGATTCTTTATTACACCGATGTTGTGTTTTTTACCAGCTCTCCCGACCACTTAATTAAATCTCCTGAAAGCTATATATTGTGCATAAGTCTTTGTTTATTGGTCTATTTAAGGGTAGCCCAGCAATGTATTACTGTATATAGCTTTTCATAAGTGTGTTAGACTTGTGAGATGCAGATTTAAAAAAAGAAAAGCGGTCAAAATATAAAAAAATTCGGTTCAAAAATGGTTCAAGCTCCAAAATCACTTTCCTACATTTCCCATAATACAACTGGATAGTGTCTTTCATTAAACCCTCCCTGCCTGGTGAACA